GGAAGGGGCGCCTGGGTGGCTCCGTCGGTTAAGCGTCTGACTTCGGCCCAGGTCACAATCTCGCGGTTTGTGAGTTTGAGCCCCGCGTCGGGTTCTGTGCTGACAGCTCAGAGCCTGGAGCCTGCTTCTGACTCTGTGTCTCCCTCTCTCTCTGCCCCTCCCCTGCTTATGCTCTGTCTCTCTGTCTCAAAAATAAATAAAAACAAAAAAAATAAAACTGGGGGGGAAGAAAAGCAGGAAAGGAATATGTGACAGAGACCGTATGTGGCCACAAAGCCTGAAACATTCACTGACCTGTCACTGAACGCCCAGGTGCCCGTGGCAGGGGTGCTGTAAACAGACCAAGACACGGACAGCCAAAACAATTTAGATCCCACTGGAACAGATCTCCCAGGTTCTAGGTTACCTGCTGTCTTCCAAGGCAGACTGGAAAGGCAGCGTTCTCTCTCTGAGGGTACGCAAATTAGCTTCCTTGACGTAAGTTTTAGTCATAAACCCTCCTGAAGATTGTAATAAACGTATGGATCAAATCGCGTGTTGTCTGTACATGGCTGGATGTACCTACTCAAGACACATGCCAGCTCTAACACGTCACCCACTGCACGGACCCGATCCCTGCCGCTCTCCAGTCCTCTCCGCACTTTCAACCTACGCTAAGAAGCACAGTGGCCAACAGGAGCCACTGCGACGTGAGGACGCCCGCCAGAGCAGGATGCCTAGAGAGAGTGGCTCCTCTGGGTCCCCACCTCCTCCTCACTGAAGAACTCCCGAGCGGGTCCCCGGCTCTGACAGCTAGAAGGGAGGGGTCCGTAAACCACCTGGCCGTTGAAAGACCTCGGCCTCCCTGGCCTCCAGTGGGTGAAGATCTGCGTCCCCTGGCCTCCTTCCCAAGCACGGCCCAGGGAGGGGGGTGTGGGGGGACAGGGCTGGGGCGCTCTCAGAGCAGTGCTCCTACTTGCCAGCAGGATCCACACGTGCACACAATTCTGATCTCATTTCTTCACTGCTGGGCCCCCAGCTCGGCGGCTTTGCTAACAGGCAGGGATGCAACATTCTCCTCTTAAAATCATATTCCTGAGAGCCCTGGTCTGGGTGGAAAGGGGAGACTTTGGCCGAATGAGGCAGAATGAGGCTGGGACAGCCCATCTCTCCTGTCACTGCCTCGGTGTCCCGGCTATCAGGGCACCAGCTGGGTGTGCAGTGTGACTGGCTCAGCACTCTAGCAGGGGCACCTCAGGGGACAGCTGTCAAGCAGCAGGCAAGTCAAATGCATTAAAAGATGTCGTCATCTGCCCGGAGGGTTTTGCCCAGGTGTCCCGAGCCACCAACTTGTTTCTCATACGCTTTGACCAGGCACTGGTTAAAGGTCCCACATGCCTCCGGATGAGGCACTGTCCTTGGACGCCCACGTCCAAAGTCTAGAGTGAGCCATGCCACCGTTTTTACTGTGTGGTTGACGTGCCGAGGGCAGCTGTGCCCAGGAGAAATAATGTAGAAGAAACGCACCATGCTACTTTTTGCCTCTGACGTATATTCAAATACATTCTAAATTTATTCCTACGTTTTTTTGAAAAAATAAAAAAAAAAGCATATATTTATTTATTTATTATTATTATTTTGTTTGTTTTTTTTTTTACTTGACAGAAAGAGGGAGAGCACACACACACAGGGGAGGGAGCAGAAGGAAAGAGGGGGAAAATGTTTTTAATGTTTATTTTTTGAGATGGAGAGAGGGAGAGAGGGAGAGAGGGAGAGAGGGAGAGAGGGAGACAGGGAGACAGGGAGACAGGGAGAGAGGGAGTGCACACAAGTAGGGGAGGGGCAGGGAGACAGGGGGCCACAGGATCCCTGTGCTGACAGCACAGAGCCCAACACGGGCTTCAAACTCACGAACCATGAGATCATGACCTGAGCCAATGTCGGACGCTTAACCAATAGCCACCCAGGCGCCCCTACTATTCCTATGTTTCTCAGTCTTAGAGTAAGCCAACATGAACAGAATATCAGGAAAAAAATACTTTAAAAACTTTAGATCTTCCCTTTAGCAAACATATGTCCTTTTCTTAGAGTGAATTAACAGACTTTATGAGAAAAATATGCTGGCAAATGAATCTTCATTGTAGTAACCAATTTCTGGGAGGAGAAAACCGAACAGCACGAGGGCACGATCCCGAGCTGTCAGCTGTGAGTGGGGGTCACAGTGGGCACTGCTAAAAGCACAGTCATTTCAAGTAAGAAACTGCTAAAAACACGTCAACATTTTATCTTAAAGATGTGATGCAAAGGGGGTGGCTGAGGGCTGAGGGGCTCAGTCGGTTGAGCCTACTTGGGATTCTCTTTTTCCCTCTCTCTGCCCCTCCCCTGCTTGCTCTCTCTCTCTCTCTAAAAATAAACTAAAAAAGGGGGGGGGCACCTGGGTGGTTCAGTCGGTTGGACATCCGACTTTGGCTCAGGTCACGATCTTGTGATTTGTGAGTTCGAGCCCCGCGTCAGGCTCTGTGCTGACAGTTCAGAGCCTGGAGCCTGCTTCAGATTCTGTGTCTCCCCCCTCTCTGCCCCTCCCATGCTCTTTTCTGTCTCTCTCTGTCTCTCTATAATAAATAAACGTTAAAAAAAAAAAAAAGATGTGACACAAAGAAGGATGAAATAGTCAATATACACACACAAGTTGAACCCAAAGGGACAGACCCGTCTCGTGACGTCACCACCATGTGGCCACCGAAGAGGAAAAGAGAAAGGGGCCCCGGATGCGTGGCGACGCAGGGTAGCCTGCAGAAGCGGCGAGTGCACACCACAGGCAGGGGCTTAGGCAAAGGGGAGGCAGCAAGTATGAAAACGGCACAGAAAGTGGGACCACAAATTTAAAAAAGGGTTTAGTAACCCTTTTTTTCTTTCTTATTTAACCCTACCTGATTTTCCAAAATGTTTCCTGTGAAGAAACAAGCTGGCTGGGGAAGAAATCCCCCAGCGACCGGTTGACAGTTGCTGCCCCCCCTCCCCCTCCGCTGCTGGTCCTGGCCCACACCCCTGCAGCCTCCGTGCGGGGAGGGTGCCCTGCAGCCTCTGTGCGGGGAGGGTGCCCGCGGTTCAGCCCCCAGCCCCTGGCCCTGGCCGGGGACTTGCCATCAGTGGTGGTCAGATGGCGAATGGCACACAGTCTTAGAGCTGAGTACGTCTGATGTTCATGGGTGGCCAAGACCCCACATGACGTTGATAGGCTGGTTGGGCAATGCCCTGATATAACAACAGGGTGTTTTCCACCACTCTTTGGGTGGTCCCAAAAAGCCACCGACCAAAGTAAAGGAAGAGTGTTGGAAAATAAGTACTTTCTCACAAAGGGAGGGCTTCCCTGGGGAGGACGATGGGAGAATACGGTCCACCGTCACCACCGAGGGCCGCTAAGGCTCAAGGCGGTTCTTGACGGTCACTGAGGCCTCAGAGATGTGTTGCGGCCCCAGTAGCTGTCCCTGAATCGACCAGGCAGTGGGGCTGGCCCGGAACCAGCTGTAACGACTCCCCTCTGGCTCCTGTCTTCCCATCCCTTACGCCAAGTAGGTGACAGGGAGTAGATTTTGAACAGTGACAAGTACGGAGAGGCACCCCTGCCCAGGAAGCAGCCCTGCCAGAGGAGGCCCGCACCCCCACCGCCCACCCTGCTTGGCCACCCGTCTGTAAAGCGAACCCGAGACCGAATGCCGAAGACAAAACTGAACCACGGCATGAGAGGTGGGCAGCTCTGGAATCTGCTTCCTTAGTTTCTTCTCTTTCAAAGGTCCCAGCAGCCTTGGCCTGGGGAGAAGCAGTGGCTGCAGCCCCGGGGACCATCAAGGACACGTCCCGCAGCGCGGACTGTCCGTGCAGCAGCGGGGGGCCTGCCGGGGTTCGCCCAAGAAGAGGGGACTCACACGCTGCTGTCGGTGAGGGACAGGCTGTCGGCATCACTGGATAGGCTCTGCTGCTCACTGTCGTTGGCACTGGTGGCCGGGGCGAGGGCGTAGCCGGAGCTGACGTAGTAGGGGTTGGCAGGCTCCCGCCAGGACCCGCACCTGTGAACAGGGAGCAAAGGTCAGCAGCAGCCCAAGGACACGTGCGCAATCACCCACATCCACGGGCGAGTATCCGTGCAGATACCGATTTATGAACCGTGCATGTAAAGAATCCAGAAAACACAGCACAAGGGGCAGGTGCCTCTCTCTGTCCTGCCTCCGGCCCTTCTGCTCTTCCCAGAGGGATCGGTTAAGCCCCAGGCATCTTCCGGATCTTTGGCGTGCATTTAGGCAGACGTGTAAGTGCGCACACACTTGTCACCTCGGTTTGCACTTTTATGCACGTCACTACAAATGGGACGCGCCATTCTGCTCTCGGGCCTTCTAAAGAACGCTGCTGGCAGGCTTACTTGCCGCACAGCGGGGCGCACCTCCACCACCAGCAGCAGCGACACCGGTGCCCCTACCCCCGCTGCTTCTCCCCAGAGTCTGAGGCCACAGGAGGCCACGACCCCTTCAAGGAGCCAGCCGGGACTCTGGCGCACGAGTGTGACAAGGCTCACGGGACGCAGGCGGGAGCCGGGGGTGAAGGTGCACGTGCATCCACGGAGGCTGCAAGCTGCCTGCCGGGTGCGGCGAAACCAGGAGTTGGATGCTCAATGGACCGAGCTCCCGGGCACCCTTGGGGCCGGTCGCACCGCAATGATTTCTGGGGGCAATGACTTCTGGGGGCCGTGCTGTTCTCCCGTCAAGGTACCCCCCCCACGCCCCACCAGGCACCTCCTCCTCCCAGACTGCCCTCCGGTAGCGACAAGGGGCTCAGGGAAAGAGAAGACGTTCTGTGATGGCTGCCGGGATATGGGGGCCTCGCAGGACCCGCCCGACTGCCGCCCCGTCGGGAGTCCCGGCCTCTCTGTCGAGCACACCACGACCCACAGTGCCCAGAGTGCGCCAAGCGCGGGGACCTGGGGCGCATCACGGAGGTCCTCAGACTCCAGTGTCCTCGGTGCAGAGAGGGAGAGGAGACCGTCTCTACGGGGATGGAACCCCTGTGGACAACCATCGCCTCACCGGGCCCGATTCGTGCCACGCACAGACTCAGAAAAAGGCGCCCTAACGAGACTGGGGACCAGGCCCCTCGGTACCCTGAACACCCATCACGCAGGACGTGCAGGGCCAGGCAGCACGGCCAGAAGAGAGGCCCGACCGAAGGGGGACCAACTCCCCGGGGGCCTTGGCATCCGGTCTCAGGAGAGGTGGCACCTGAGGCCACGAAAATGAGAAAAGTGCCAGCCCGGTGGTCCTCCCATTCTGGCCAATGAGGCCACAGCACCGGATGGAGACACAGCCACCGAAGTTCTGCGCTGGCTCAGGAAACATGTGCTCCACGTCCGTCTCCAGAAAGGAGTAGGTCACCGTCCAACACCACGCAGTTTCTCTGACCCACCCATCCACAGCCGCCAAAGCCTCTGGAGAGGCCACTAACGGGTTCCAGCCAGCTGGGGGCAGGGGCAGGGCCCAAAGGCTCCTAGTACACAACATGTCCCGTCCAAGGGCTCATAGGAAGGGATGGGGACGAGGACAGAGACACCGATGCCTGTCCCCGGTCTTGTGCCTGTGTACGTTTCCTTATCTAGATCATTCCTACCGTGAAGCAGACAGAATGATGGGAGCTTGCCACATCAAAACTCTTTAAGAATCATACAATTTCAGGGGCGCCTGGGTGGCTCAGTTGGTTGAGCGTCCGACTTCAGCTCAGGTCACGATCTCACAGTCCGTGAGTTCGAGCCCCGCGTCAGGCTGTGGGCTGATGGCTCAGAGCCCGGAGCCTGCTTCCGATTCTGTGTCTCCCTCTCTCTCTGCCCCTCCCCCGTTCATGCTCTCTCTCTCTCTCTCTCTCTCTCTCTCTGTCTCAAAAATAAATAAATGTTAAAAAAAATTTTAAAAAAAATCATACAATTTCATTTTTATTACTTTAAACAATTTTTGTAAAAAGTAGGCTCTACACCCAACATGGGGCTCAAACTCATGACCTGGAGATCAAGTGCAACGACGGAGCCAGCCAGCCGTCCCACCATAAAACATTATTTTTAAATGACACTGTTATTCCTCTTCTATACTTAAAAACATAAAACCACCAATATCGTCACCATAATAACCACAGCACTGGAATCCAGATCACAGGCTAAGCGCTAAACTGTTTTTTCAGTTTCCCCATTACGAGTAAGGAATATTAACCTTTGGTTACTTTCTGTAAACACTCATTTGGTCAAACGAGAAAAAAAACTCCAACTTAAAGGGAAAAGGCATCCCGGCTTGGAAGCCCAAGCCCGCAGAGCATGCGCTCCACCCCTGCACCTGCTCACCTTTGCCCTCCCCCTACGCAAGCACCCCGTCCAGCAGGACATAGCCTTCGACTCCGATGTGTCCAAGACTGTGTGTCTTACGCCTCAGACAGGTCCCCAGCGTGCCTCCCACATGTATAAAAAAGTCCATCTTGGGGTGCCTGGGTGGCTCAGTCGGTTGAGCATCTGACTTCGGCTTGGGTCATGATCTCACAGTTCGTGAGTTGGAGCCCCGCATCGGGCTCTGTGCTGACAGCTCGGAGTCTGGAGCCGGCTTCAGATTCTTTGGGTCTCTCTCTCTCTCTCTCTCTCTCTGCCCCTCCCCCACTTGTGCTCTGTCTCTGTGTCTCAAAAATAAATAAATGTAAAAAAAAAAAATTCAACAAAAAAAGTCCATCTTTAGGTGAAAAGCAAGAACAACATGGTTTAATTTTCCACAGCCTGCAGCACAGAGCCAAGCCCACTACGTACATGAGCTCTGAGTCCAGATGACAAAGGGAAGAGAGAAGAAAGAGCCACACCAGACAGAACAGAAGAGGAAGAAGGGGTGCCTGGGGGGCTCAGTCAGTTGAGCGTCTGACTTTAGCTCAGGTCATGATCTCACGGTTCCTGAGTTTGAGCCCAACGTCGGGGTCTGCACTGACAGCTCTGAGCCTGCTTAAGATTCTCTCTCTCTCTCTCTCTCTCTGCCCCTCACCCGCTCGTTCTTTCAAAATATATAAATAAATTTTTTAAAATAATAAAAAAGAAGGGAGGAAGAGCTATCAGTTATCTTTTCCCTTTTTAAACTTGTAGACAATAAAGCTGGCTCTTGGAATCAAGACCGTTAGTGCCCTGGGCCTTCGCTGCAGGCTGACACCACAGAAAGTTCTGGCCAATGACCTGCGAGAGGAAATGTCATGTGGGGGAGCCCATGTCTCTACAAGACAGCCAGAAACGGAGACAGGGAGAGTGTGCATGTGCTCACACACACGCACGCACACACACGGGCACAGCAAACGTAGCCAACCTCCCAGGTGCTGCGGCCAGAGAAAATGCCCACTGCTCTGTCCCTTTCGATGTTCTCAGAATAAAACCTGGACGGGCCCACATATGCCCAACCGGGAACACCCTGCCTCTGTGCTGCCTTTTCTGCTGGGATGCCGTTTGCAGGACTTGGGTTTTCCATCTTTTCATGTTTAACTTGTTATTCTGCTTTCGTGTGTCTGCTGGGAAAGCTAGCCTTGTTAAGATCCAGCTGGACAATCTTTCTTCCAATCAAACAATTTGGTCCTGCTGCATCTGGTGTGACTACTAAGGGAACAGGGGTTGTCCACCATCTTGTTATCTGCTGTCTGTCCTTCTATTCTGTGTTTTTTGCTTCTTTCTTGCCTTCTTCTGGCTGTTTATTTTCCATCTCCTCTCTCTAATAAAGTAACCCTTCGGTCAGTAGTTCCTGTAGAGATCACAACACAACCCCAGGATCATGGCATCAAGCCCCGGGTCTGGACCAGAGATCCGTCCCCTGGGGACACCGGGAAATGTGGCCCGCTCCACGGAAGGCCAGGGGCCTTCCCAGGCTGGCTGCCGGCAGCCTCTCCCACTCCCAGCGCTCAGGCCAGGCGCACACCAACCCCTCGCCCATAAGGCCTTGCTCCCTGCGCTGAGCCCAGATGTGCCCCCGGAACAGGGGCAGAGGCGGTTCAACACCGACATGACGCGGCCTGCCGACCCAGAAGACAAGCTCAGATGTGTTTCGCTGTCCGGTTATGGACCGTAGAGTGTTTTTCTCCCTCCTGCCTCCTTTAACCTGGGCCCTCATCCTTACCAACACGACGTTCTCAAGAGTCCAGGCAGTTACCCTACACAACGGTTCACTATATCCTTGTGGTGACACTCACTGGGCACTCTTGGGCAGGAATGTCACAGAAGTGATGCTCAATCACATCAAGAACACCAAGTGGGTTCGTCCCAGTACTGGTAGCAAACCAAGTGCCAGCCAATTTTTTCCACTTCATTATTTTTCTTTTGTTATCAAATAGGCAATTGCGGGGAGATACTGAGATACATATGAATTGTTACCACCCGGTGATTTTCCAACCCCTTCATTTGACCGCACACCCACAGCTGGCTGGTGTTCTACTGTAAGGAAGATGTTCTCTCCATCTGCATTTATTTACATCCGTGTGGACCTCAGATGGCTTCATCCAATGGATTACAACCCATTCATTTCTTTTCTGCTCATACTCGGCACAGCCCTGTCGGCCTAGGAACGCGCCCGCACTCTCTGGCACTCCCTGCCCCAGCACTGAGATTTTCACCAAGAAGGTGTCTGTTAACTGTGTTATCTGGATTCCCGTGGTTTTCTTTCTTTCTTTTTAACGCTTATTTTTGAGAGAAAGGGAGAGAAAGAGAGAGGGAGACACTGAATCCAAAGCAGGCTCCAGGCTTGGAGCTGTCAGCACAGAGCCCGATGCGGGGCTCGAACTCAGGGACCCTGAGATCGTGATGTGAGCCAAAGTCAGATGCCTAACCGACTGAGCCCCCCAGATGTCCCCTCCCTCTCTTTTTATCATCCCATTGTCGTATGTCCCTGAGCACATGGGTTATTTTTCATTCAGTATCTGGTTATTTTGGACAGAGGGCCAGACACTGTGTGGGAAAACCCTTCCACCGCGGCAGCCTGGGATGACACATCCTTCTCCAGAGCACATACGCGTGACAGGGCATGTGGCT